CACTCGAGCTCTAGTTAGCTTCCCCGTTTGCTTAATCTTCTACGTAAAAGTAAATGTCTGACGAGAATTATCGGAAAGAGATATCTCTTTGCAAGTCTCCTTATGTCTAAATGGGCATAATACAAGAGTTAAAGAGGAAAAGTTGAAGCGGGCAGCCCTGTCTCACACCGCTGGAGATATTGAGGAGCAGCGACAGTTTTCCATAAACCTTCACTCCGCCTGAACTATGCGCATACAGCGCTCTGATAATGTTTACCTACTTATCGGGCACAACTTTCCTGAGCAGACAGTCCCAAAGGGCACATCAATCCACCGAATCGAAAGCACATTTGATGTCGAGAAACACGACAACGGTGGGTCGAGGACAAACGGCTGTGCTCCAGCAATTGACGCAAAGTGAAGATGTCATCGATGCAGCCCCGAACTCGCCGAAATAAAGCTTAATTTTCGGGAATCTGATTTCCACGAGTGCCAGACAGTCTGTAGACATTTTTATTTATATATATGTATATATATATATATATATATATAATGCACAATCTGTGGTACAGATATTTTGCCATCGGAATCATGGCTGAATAGGAAAACAATATGAATAATAAGAAAAGAGCAACAAGAAATGCTTTTTTTTGTCAAGTTTACCACTCACAGATTTTGAAATTTTTTTCAGTTTGTTCTTTTTTAGGGGGAGGAAGAAGGGACACCGCAACACACTGATGCACACGTCCGCCATTGACATCGATCTTGAGCCATAACTTCCAAGGTTTTCAACCAGCAAGTATTCTCATCTCTCGGACCCCAACCAGGTAGTCGACAACAACCGGCCGAGGCCAATTGTTTCGTCAACTTTTTCATGCGGCTTCTCCATGTTGTAGGCTGTCCACCAGACCGTCTCTTCCAGCCCTGTCCAGCAAGTGCAAACAACGCACGACGGGGGTAACGCTGGACAGGCATGCGCAATACGTGTCACAACCACCGCAATTGATGCAGTGAGACGAGGTCCTCGAGCGAGTGGCTTCCACGTCCCAAGACACGCTGTCTAACTTCCACATTGCTTACGTGGTGCTGCCACCACACACGGGCAATGGACCGCAGACAGCGGTGCTCGAAGACGGATAGCCTGCGCAAGTCATCTTTACGAATGGGCCAGGTCTCGCATCCGTACAACAGTACAGCACGAACAGTTGCACAATAGACCCGCCCTTTGATGGAGAGACGAATATCGTGGCGACGCCACAAATGCCTCAGCCTAGAAAAAGCGGGGCGTGCTCTCGAGATGCGCATCGAAATCTCGTCTCCAACAGCCCCGCCAGCAGTGATGCAACTTCCCAAGTAGACAAAGCTCTCCACAACCTCCAGTGTCTCACCAGCAAGCGTGAGTGCAGGCAGAGGCACCTGCCAGTCTTGAAGGAGAGCCTTGCATTTGGATGGCGAAAAGTACATACCGTACTTTGATGCTTCAATCGTCAAGCGGTTTAATGCAAGTTGGACGACCTGTGGATCTTCACCCAGCAAGACGATATCATCAGCATAATCCAAATCAACAACTCGACTACCTGGGAGGAGCTCAACGCCAGCGTTCAACGAATCGCTCAGAGCGTTCTTCAGGACATCCTCAATGGCAAAGTTGAATAGGAACGGAGAGATAGGGCATCCTTGTCGAACTCCACTGGAGACCACAAAGGTAGGCGAAAGCATGCCATAAGCCCTAACCCTGTCCGAGATCAGACTGTATAGAGCGCGTAGTATGGAGACGAACTTCTCGGGGACACCGTTCCTCAGAAGGCACTGCCACAGTACTGTACGATCGACAGAATCGAAGGCTGCACGGATATCCAGGAACACAGCAATCGTTGGCCTCTGATACACATGGCGGAGCTCGAGGATCTGGCGAAGTGTGAAGGTTTGATCGATGCAGCCGCGACCAGGGCGAAACCCAGCTTGTTCTTCTCGTTGCAACGATTCGCGTGTTGGGGATAGCCTGCGAAGTATGATGGACACCAGCAGCTTGCAAACGACGGGGACTAAACTTATTCCTCTGTAGTTGGAGCAGATTGTGCACAGGCCGTTTTTGAAGATGGGTACGACTATCGATTCACCCCAAGATGATGGAACCTTCTCTTTCGACCAAATTTTCGAGAACATAGCGGTGAGTTCTCGGACCAGCGATGCGCCACCATCTTTAAATAGAGCTGGGTGAAGACCATCAGGGCCGGGAGCTTTATAACGGTTCATGTGTCGGAGCTCCTGCTCGATTTCCTGGGAAGAGGGAGGGTCTGTTGGGGTTGACCACTCGGCCCCAGCGCGAGCGCCAGAGGTAGCAGATGGAGCTGGGGGCCAACAAAACTGCGAGCCAAAATGTTCGGCCCATCGCTCCAACCGTCGTTGAAGATTGGTGATTAATGTGCCATCCTCTTCGCATATTGTTGCACTTATACCAGATCGAACACCTTCGGTGACTCGAATGAGATGGAAAATTTTCCTGGTATTACCACAGGGACCCAACCCTGCGCTGACCCTTGGTGGTGATCAACTTGAAGTCGTTCGGGAATCCAAGTACATGGGCAGCTATATTAGCAAACGTGGGATCGAGGATGAGTTTACGAACCGTATAGCAAACATTCGATACGCTTCTGCCAATCTCCGCCACCTGTGGTGCCGACGCGACATCACTCTAGCGGTGAATGACAGAGTTTATAATGCAGCCGTCCGTTCAACCCTCTTATACGGTTGTGAAACCTGGTCCATCAAGTGGACAGACATAATGAGGCTCGTCATGTTCGATTATCCGTGCCTTCGCAGCTTAGCTCATGTCTGGTGGAGCACCGCGTGAAATGAATGTGTTCCGCGTCGCGTATTGGATGCAGGAAGACCAAATGAACCGCTCCGCACCATTATATCACGCTCCGATGGCTGAGCCACGTGTTGCGCATGCCAGCCCACCAATTCCCAAGACGTGCGTTATTTGCGCGCCCGGGTCTGGATGGAATTAGAGGGAGGGAGGCCAAGCGATGAGTTGGTCGAGAGAAATGAGAGCCCTCACTTCGAAGTTGGCGTCGGTTTGTGCATGCTTACTGCCTGGCTTGGGTCCTAAGGACGATGAACACGTTTGGTTGGACACACTTGCTGATATGGCGAAGAATCGGTCCCAATGGCGTTTGTGCTGTGAGTTCCTTTGTCCACTCCTACTCTTTGGATTCGGGCTCTAATTAAGATCTCACACGGAATGCATAATATAATATCTAACAATATATTACTTGCTTTTTGATTTTTTTGTAGTGTAAATTTTAGCATATTATCTTTTTGTATCGCGGAACATTACCTGAGGTGTGTTTCTCACCATCAGCTAACGTGTGTAGTTATGATGATGAGTTTAGTGTCCATATGAGTTCGTACGCAATGAAATGGTTGGTTTCGACCACTAAGGATAGTGTCCAGCCTATGGAGTGCCACTGAAGAATATCTGTGAGGTGTGTTGCACCACCAACAACACATCTACACTGGCGCCTCCGCAGAAAGTGCACTCGAGGCCCAGGCTTTTCCATTAAATTGGCCACGCGGAATAGATCGGTGCAAACACCGAGGAAGACGACGTCGGCACCCATTACGACATCCTGTCCGACGTCGTTCAAGCAACCAACAGGTCTTTCCTAGCCGAACAGCCACCCGATGTCATTCAGTTCACCGGGTTAGTGGCAAATGCGTCAGAAGCCGGTGTTTCATCCGAAGCGAACGAAGTGCTTCATGAGGATACGAACTCGAAAATGCCCGGCCTGTCGCGTTTATAAAGCCTGTGAGAAGGTGTAAGTCTGGAGTGCCTACATAAGACCAAAAGCATTACGTCAAACTCAAACACCAACAGCCTGGTGGACTGAGTGACAAACTCTCTTCATGCCACATTGGAAAGCATGCTCGGTTAGAAAAGACCAGTTAGTACAGATGTGCCGTCGGAATCATGGCGGAATAGGAAAATAGAATCGGAGTAAGAAGAAAACAGGCAACTTATTTTTTGTCTAGTTTCCCACTCAATTTTTTGTATGGAAAGGGAATCACTGCAACAAGCAGAGATACATGAGCGCTTCTGACTTCCAGGGTCTACAATCAGCTGCCCTTAAAATCTCTGGGACCCCATCTAGAGAGTCGAGAAGGATCGAACAGGTCCAATCGTTTTGCCAGCTTTTTACTCTACTTCTCCAAATTGTAAGCTGTCCACCACTCCGGCAACCACGAACAACGCATGACACTGTACATGCATTTCAACAGGCTCCACAGAGTACAGCGTAGAATCCCATTTCTACGTGGAGTAGACAGCTTGGGGCTAAATATACAAGAGGCCGCAAAGTGCTTCGACAATATTTTATCCGCACTTTCCAAAGTGATTCGTTAGCTCACACGCCTTTGACAAAGTTCACATCGCCCCAGGGTTAAGCCACGTACCATTCACCGCAATAAATGTGATAAAAAGATTATTGCTCTTCCGCGTGCACAGCTATCCCGGCGTGCACGACATAAGACCAAAGGTGTTGAAGACAGTCGAGATGAATATCTCCGAACCGATAGCTCGGTTCTTACAACGAAGCCTTGATGAAATGTAGGTTCTAAATATGCGGAAACATGAAATAGTCACTCCCATGAGTTACTGTCCAGCAGTTATCACCTTGGTGCTATCCAAAGTAATAGAAGGTATTACCGTAGAGGCGCTCATGGGATACCTGGAGAGTAACCGCATCATAGCAGCAAAGATTTGGCAGAAATCTGTCCTGCACTACAAATTTGTTGCTAGGCGGAGTAAACTGGACGGAATCAAACGATGTGGGCTTCTCAAAAGCGTTCGACCGTCTAAAAAACCGCATGCTTCTTCACAAGCTTCGAAGCTATGAAATCGGTAACCCTGTACTGGGTTGGATAAGCAACTTCCATATTCAAGGTCAGCTGAATGTGAGAGTCCGCAGCGTCATTTCGACCCAATCAAAGTCCAGTGTGGTGTGACTCAAGTATCGGTATCGGGACCACGTTTATTTCTCGTATTCATTAACACGATATATTACATAGTAGCCAGCCAGATGTCCACCAGGTAGGCAGAGGTACAAAGCAATCTTCAAATGGCTTCCCGAAACATCTCTGATGATGGGAAGAAAACAAGTCGAATAGGAGAAAAAACTGTAGTAGGCTGGTGCGTAATCGCCAAAAAAAACATAATTGAGCGACGGGAACGGCGAACGAAGGAGAGTTCCACAAGATTCAGAATTCTGTCGCCAATGTTATTTATATGTGCACGTGTGGTGAACTGGACCGAGGGCTAGAGAAGCACAACCGGAGCCAAGGAAGCGAGTCCGTCAAGGTTCAAATGTTGACCGTACAATTCGAACAGGGTAGCCACCATACTGGGCGTTTTATTGAGCAACCGTTCAGCGATTGCTGCGTAATCCCGTCCGAATTCCCTGATGGCGTGGCTGGCCAGTTGGATATCAACTGGACTCCAATGAGGGTTCTATGAGAAGCAGAAGAAAACAGGTATGATGAAACAGATCACATGCCAAATTGTGAGGAACCACGGTTGCAATTGACACAATGAGTAGAACCATATCAGTGGGGGAAAGTTTGAAAGAGATAAGCGCACAATTGTAGCAACATTAGCCTAGGAGCGCGGTGGCTCCATGCTTTCAGGCCGGCTAGCGGATATCTGCCGACACGCAGTCACAGGCTGCTGTGTGCCAGTGGAGTTCAGACGAAGAGAGTGAGGCGATGAACGTGAAGTGAGCACAAGAAATTGGTCCATCCGTGACCTCTGCAGTTATCATCATACACGTTAGCTAGAGGTGGAAAACACCTCAGCTATTGTACCGCAATATATAAGAAAAGAAGAAAAGCACGCAACAGAGGCACGCTAGCTACTAACCACGAAAATCATATGCTCAGGAAATGAGATCGTGGTCGGGAGAGAGACAAAAAAACTTGCAACATAAACGGAGCTGAGGTCAGCTCACACAAAGCGAACTTGTAAGACCGTGACCAGCGGAGTAATCAAGATTCGCAGACAAAAAATGCAGTGGCACGTGGGCAAGTGGGACAGAGTAAGGAAAAACGATGTAAACGCAATAACAAATTAATTGCAGAGATAGAAAAGCGGTGAGGTATTTATCAAGTATATATAAAATCGAACTAATTGCGGTAAAATGACAGAGTAGCTCACAACAAATAAAGTAAGAAGTCGCTCTAAAGTTGGTTACTTTCAAGAGTCATCCGGTACAAAGCAGTAGCATGAATAAAATACCCAAAATTCAATGGCCGCATGTGCGTGATTGCACTCGAGTAAACTATAGTGGAATCCTCTACCTGGTATTTTATATGAATGATTTAGGGAGCGAACCAGACAAAAACCAGTCATAAGTGGTAGAAAGTGAGAGTTAAATTGGGTTTGCCACGGAGATTCGTCACAGTCAATCAGACTGCCATCACACGCTCGAGAAACCACTGTACAGTCGTCTTATCCTTTCAAAAGTTATCAGCAGTGGATTCCACCTTATACCTTTGTGACTAGAACCGATGACCATCATGGTTCAGCAAGGAAAGTCGCGGCTCGGGGGTCCAATCCTGTCATCTGCACATGGAAAACATTTATGGCAGCACAGGATGAGTATTCACACTTTATGACAGTCCGTTATTTAGCTACGGTGGCTGTCGTTCACCCTGTGGTCCAGCGGTTTGAACTGCGGACGCGTATGTGTAGGATCGATGGTTCCATCACCTTTAGGCGGTGTAACTCGTGGGATCAAACACAGTGCCGAATTAACCAGAAGATCGCTAATGGGGTGTCGGATGACCGTGTTCGCACCCCCCCCTGATGCTGTGTGCAAAGTATGCCTTTACGTAGATGGTAGTCCACTTATGCCCGCTGAACCCTCCACCCAGTCGCCCCACATGAGTCTAGACAACCTTGTGCTCCTAACTTGCGTAGAACTAGCTTCAGAGTAGCCACTCGTCGCTGAATGGAGGTTAAAAGGTCCACGCGTCCCCACCGCATATCATCAAACCATACTAGCCACGCAAGGGTTATTATATCTACCGTCATTGGTTGATTTAGGCTGGCTCAATTACAAGGACCCTGCGCGCATAGTGCGTCGCAAAGACTGGATGGAATTCAAATGCATTGAGGACTATGTTCAATTGGTTTACGGGTGCGAGTCAGATCCTTAGGGAACAATTCAGTTACACCACGGATGCAATCAATCGAGAAAAGGTACAAGGAACTCCAAACATTCACCTTCCGCAAAACTGAAGTGGACAGCCAGCCTGCAAGATTTTCCGTTAACGAATGTCAAGATAGCAAGAATGGATAATGTTTCAGATATTTCGGGTATTCTCATCAGCTGTTGATATACAATCCGTGGAATAATGATGTTGCATTTAAAATGAAACAATATTTAAGGTCATTGAATTTAAATTTGAAGCGAGCGAAGGTCCTCATCAAGGCAATGAGAAGCTGGTCATAAGCGAAATTTATTTGCACAAATGGGGTTGCAACCGCCGAATTGGTGAAGATACAGCAAACTAAAGCAGCAGGGCATTGCTCCGTCGGTCAATTATACTGAACGATTCACAGGGATTTTTACATGTGGAGCAGTCTAGGATGTGTTGAGTAATGGAGTTTGGGACTATTCGAGACCATATTACGTGAAATGTGCTCTGAAATCCCAGTCGACAGCCTTCCTTTAGTTCGGCCAAAGTAGTTGCAATCGCAAGTACAATGAAAGAGGTAAACATATGAGGCATTAACTAGATGGTCCGAGTTGTCCAGGCTAGATATACAAAACAGCTACCTAACTTCGCGCAAGAACACAAGTTCGGCGTCGTGATAACACTTCTTTATAATCTGGCGCAGACGGTGCCGTAATCCTCTGTTACTGGTCCCTTTTAAAACATAGCGTGATAAACACCTATTTCTTAGAGAAACCTGTCAGCCGTTTCTCCCTATTTTCTGTGTTTGCGTGTCGTGCTATAAATCTTTCGTAGTGTTAATGACACATGTTCTATCTCTCTACCAATCGTATCTTTAGAGCAAATATTCCGAGCACTCACGAAAGCAGTGCGAATCAGTGCTCATTTATAGTTTATAGGAGAAAAAGGATTAAAGTTTAGGCACTGTTCTATCCAAGTAGGCTTGCGATACACAGGCCCAATGAGCGTGCCGCCTGTATTCCTCTTTAGCTTTACATCCACAAAATGGAAAGTGGTATCCATTTCACTTTCCATCGTGAATTTGATTACAGGGTGGCATGCGTTAAGAATATCGAGTAGGTACACTGTCTGCCGAGCTGTATCAAGCACAACAAACGTGTCGTCAAGGTGTCTACAACAATACGGATGCACATTTTTATGCTGTCACGTAGTGCAATGACGCATGAAAATATCAGCCAGGACTAGCCAAAGTAGACTGCCCATGGCCACACCATCAATATGACGATAGACTGTTTCGCTGAATTGGAAATAAATGCTTTTTGGTCACAATCGCAGTAGGGACCTATGGTGATGTGCCGAATATTCCACTTTGTCACCATGAACGCCGACGATGTTCGAAGTCTCTTGCAGTGGAATGTTGGTAAACAGTGAGCATACATCAAAAGAAATGATGTATTTCCACCCTACATTTAAGCCTTGTTTGTGGTCGACAAATTCGAAGGTAGCTTTGATAGCGTGTCCAGTTAGTTTACGTCAGAGAGGCTCGACAAGCTGGACTAGCCATTGTGCCAGTTTTTGGTACCGTGTTTTTATCCTTAGGACGACTGGACGCTGTTGAGTGAATCTTTGATAAATCGTACATGTGGAGAATTTGAGCTTCACGTGTGCGAAGCGGTGTCATCGTTTTCACATAATCAAAGGCAAGAAAAAAGATATCAACAGTACGCCGTATCGACGCATCGCTGCGCCGCAACCAACACCGGTCGCAGGTGGGCTAAGGATGCGGCGAAGGTTGCAAAACCCCTATGCAAGCTCGAACCCGCGCAGCCAGCTTAAAAACTTGTCTAGGCTACGGACGCTCAGTAGCTATTCGGTTCACGAAGTATGGGCCTACTATCAACCTGCTCGGTTGCGCCATGGCCTATCGACTCATGAATGAGGCGGCTAGTGCCCACAAGAAGTGAATGCAGTTGGTGGGCATAGTCTTGCGTTTCTGTAATGATAACTCATGCCCTCTAATCTTCTCGTGCTTTCATTTCGGCATAGGTTCGTCGTGATTTCCAGTGATTCTTTTAGGATGGCACATTTTTGAGGTTTCATTAACACAAAATTGGTTAGCTAAATTCAACGTATTAGTCTTAAACAAACCGCGGATGAGAATACCTGAAATATCTGAGCCCAGAGTATCCTTGGGGTATTAAGGTTTTATACTAAACACCCCTTCTCTCACGCCTATTACTTTTCATTCATTAAGTTCTCGTGGTTGTACGGCAGGAAACATTAGTTCAAATGGCTGATGTATTGCTGTTAGTGATGATGTTGAAAATGGATGGTGTAACCGCCAACCCGGATACACACACTGGGAGAGAAAACATCTTCCTTGTGAGTACGTGTGCGAAGTCAGCCCGTAACGCTGGAGCTCTTAGAAAGGGGATAGAAGCCATCACTGACAGAAACAATTCGACTGTTCCCCTTCATACGATTAGGACGCATGAACAGAAACGTGGCATGTAAGATTGCGTTGTATGCAGATACAGGGTAGCGAACGGGCTCATGAAGCGCGCATTCCATCTGAAAATAACATGTGACCACCTCACCTTGGGCAAAACTGGAGGTTTCAGAGATTGAATATCATCCAGAAGTCCAACGGTGTTTGTTGATTGCTGTGGTAAATGAAAAGAACACAGCAGTTGTGACACAAAACAACCAAGATTTATGGGTAAAAAGTTTAGCCAATAATAGAGCGCTAGGTGTACTGGTGTTACCGAATCCGAGCGAAAATACGTTATAAACAACAGTGGAGGCACTGCAGTAAATAATACCACCAGGCCGTGACGGATGACTTTGAAAGTCCTAGAAGGATGAGGGTATAGATAGATATGTGTATTCAGCGGCATCCATTGAGCTCCGGGATGTTTAGACGTAAAACAGTGGAATAGCCAAATTTGGACAGAATGAAAGAGTGGAATAGTGTTCGGTTTGGTTAATTAAACACAACCTGAGTACCGAATCCGGTTTCTGTGATACGCGTGGATGGAAGAAAAAACAGATCAACAGAAGTGGAGACAGTATGAGACAACGCACAAAACAAAACGACGAAAAGCAATCGATCGGAGAAGAAATCAGAAGCTGAATGTCACAGGATGGAAAAGTGATGGCTATAAGGAATCCGAATTCCGACGCCTCTGCGACTTGGTGATATCGACTAGCACATCTAACAGCCTGTGCGGTTGACCCAAACGTCTCCGTCCGTAGAGGCGACATGAGCGGATGCGATTAAGCGCTGCATTGAATGATTGAATGCTAAACCGTCGGTTGTTGATCGGTGGCCGAAAGGATTACACGCCTGTGTTATAATCCGGTCATCGGTTCGAGTTCACTTAGGTGTGGGCGACCTCGTGGAATAATGAGCCCACGTGCGGCTGGTGTTGTTCGCGCATCAGCGAAGCGTGGATACGTTGGGCCGGTGTACTACTGATGACTTACACCATTGACTGGCCTCCTTGGAATCGCAGTCGAAAGCACACACACCAGAGTAGGCGTTCGGAAGACGAGGGAAGGACACGGTCTGGTTAGGACAGGTGCCATGTAGCACTAAAGGCTTTGTTACCCAACGCCAATCATCTGGGTTATCCACTTGGTGGGCACACCAGATGTGGGAGTGGTGGCTATTTCCAAAAAGACAGGAACTCACTAGACGAAAAACGCAGGGTGAAAATGGATAGAAGAGGACATATTCGGGGTACAAGTAAGGCAAATCAAACATTTCACGTACAAGAATGGTGAATGTAACGTAAATTGAAGGGATGAGATGGCGGAGAGAAATTCGGACAAGTTTCGACTGGTCATGCTGAATGTGCAAAATCTATATGGCTCAAGCGCGCAAACTCACAACTAAATCACACAACTTCATGAAGAGAAAAAGGAACATAGCAAACCAAAGTGCTTCACTTTCGGTGTTCTGGCATGTCCTATATTTAAATGTTGTAGGATCCGGTTTTGTCTACGATAATGTTCAGACGGATAGCTCCTGTACCGGATGAAAAAGTAGTACAATTGATAAAAATGCATGTTCTCTTCTATGTAACTCGGTTCCAGGTAGCTGATCTGTCTCAGAGAACCAGATAGACACAGTCGTTTAACAGTGTCGATCCACCCAGACAGAAAATGAATAGTGTCAGATGCTAGGTCGGAGTGCTCGTCTCGTGGGTACCGACCTAAGAAAGTAAACAACCAGGAAAAACAACGAGCGTGTTTGGTCGAAAGAAAGGAAAATGATAAAGATGGTTTCCCAAGTGGTGTCGTCGCTTCGAAGGTGTAGAAAAGAGGATTACACGAGGCCTCCTCAATGGATCACCGTTGACTGATGATACTCAGCCGACCAAATCGAAATAGCCTCGTTGCAAAAGATCATCCCATGTGGACCATGGTTTGCTGATGCAAAAAGAACCGACTCTACAGGAAGACGTACGCAAGCCAGGAATACAAAGCTCAACCGGCCGTCCGAAAGTTACAAACGATCGGTGGTAATAAATAGCCGTCGATGAGGAGGTCGGTACGTTACGAAGTTTGCGCACGAACAAAAGTGAACAGTAATACTTAATGACACGAAGTGAAAGTGACCACTAAATATGGATCACAGTGAAATCATCTATGGAGGAAATGCGTGGATATGGTGGTGGCTGTCTAGAGCCACCTGAACTGCTTGCTTCGGATCCTCGGTTAATTTCGAGATGCGATATGGTCGAAAAGAGGGGTGTGTGGATCAGCGGGATGAGGGAACAACTCACGAGAAGAGGCAAACGCTGAGACACACGCCGAGTGAACGGTACCAACAATACCGAACGAACGAGCTGACCGTGCAATACGGATGGCTAACGGATGCAGAAGCAACAGCGTGGAAGCGCGGGGGTCAAGTAAAAGAGCAATTGTGAAGACGACAGAAAGACGCCCCGAGTCTTACGCGAACGTTCTCGTCGATGCGGAAGCTGAGGCTGTGCGCCAATTCTTCCAGTTTATGAATATCCTCTTTGTGTTGGTCCGCTGAATGGTGGCACATGCTTAAGAACTCCTTGTGAACATAGTAAACGCCGTCTGGGAGCTTCGCTCTGTTGGTGAGACAAAATGGGAGGTAATATTGAACAGGGAAAGCTGAGAGTAATGCATTGAAGCTAATGAAGTAAATACGATAACATACATTGGACAGTTTTTGAGTTGTTTTATACCGGAGGCTAATCATGAACCATGAAGATATAAGAATGACCCTAGAAGTTGATCAATCGATGGAGATTTCAAGGTAAGGTGGAACAGATGATGAAGATGGTGATAAGCAAACTTTGGCTCACACAGGTGCTGAGAAGGAAGCAGAATGAGTAACTCCACGTCGTGATCGCCGGCGCAGAACTTCCGTTGGCGCGTTTGATGGAGGTAGGCTAGACCTCTCAGTTTGGCCGTAGGGTAGGTTAGCAACAGCTGCCAGTTGCTCCTCAAATCGGGCGTGTTTGCGCATAGATAGACGACTAATTGAAGCATTGTAGGAACTTGGCAGAGGAGAGGGCAGATCCAATGAAGGTATATTGATGTTGTGAGAATTGCGTGGCCTGCCTCTTGGGCGTTTCCGTTTCCGACAAGCTGTTGCAGAGCTCTTGGAAGTTCTCATATCCCCATGTCCTTCGAGATTGTTATCCTTTCTGTAACCTCCGGATGGCAAACGGGTCTCAGATTCCTCATCTGAGTCTGGACTATCGGGCAGGGATGCAGCTGTTTCACAATCCCCCTCCTGGGTACTTTCAGAGGACACTATCCCACGGAGTGAGTCCAAATAGCGTCGGATTTCCATGTCCACGGGATCAGTAGGATCAAAATCGAAAGAAGACTTCTGTAGGAACAGACCAGAAAACAATCATAAGGTGAAACAAGGGAAGCCATTACTGGCTATGCTGTCTCAGACGTATTAAATAAAAGCGATGCACGAACGAGCGGCAAAAAATTCGATCACAAAGGTTAGGCTCCTAATCTTTACAAGCAATAATAGTGCTGATAACAAACAGTGTCCATACGAATCAGAGCGCTCAAAATTGGATGCCGATTCGTAGCTTGTGCATTCCATTGCATTTACTTTGGATAAAAAAATGTAAGACTGTGTGGCACCTGTTCCTTGATTATATTAATGCCTTCGGGAGCCTTAACAGGCCGATACTACTAAGCCTTTTGTTCGAAAACGGTCTTCACCCATACGCATGTGATGTAACGCATGGCTACTTTACGAATCGCACACACTTCATGCAGTTATGCGGTAGATCTTCCGCAATCCCAGCCAATTGTGGGGTCTTACAAGGATCTATTCTATCCTCGTTTCTGTTTTCCCACTGTGTTGAGTGTCTGTCTATACCAATCAGTTTCATCGGGTGTAAATAGGCTGACGTCGTTCTAGGGTGTATAGTCCCCGTAATTAGGGAATCTTCGAAACTCCAACGAGGATTCGACGAACTGTTGACTTGGTCAAGCTCACATTCCCTCAAACTTAACTCTTCTAAGTGCTGTGATATTTCATTCTATTTTCTCCGTATCGACAGACTGCGTCCTTTTTTAAATACCTCTTTATCTTTGGTCGTGAGTGACCAAAGCACCCCTCGTTCATTTTCCGTAAAGTATCTCGGTGTTTTTATCCTACAATTTATTTTGGTTTACATAGATTCTGTAAACGATTCAGACTCAAAATGTTCTCCGTACCGCGTGCTCTAATGCTAAGATTTGTAAATCCACATATTCTCTCCCATTGGCTGTAATGTTCCCCTGTTATTTTCCCAGGACTACTTCAGAAGGATTATGTTTTGCTTGTGCGATCACTAAAATTTATTTCCCGATACTCTGGACTGAGGAGATCATCCCTAGTATTTTGTGATTAGCAATCATTTTGACACATGCTTCAACTTCCGCTCTGAGACTCTACAAGACTCCTCTCATCCCCTACACACTGTTTTAGCAAGTACGGCATCTATTTCTTCCACGTGGTCGCTTGTTAATCGACCCAGCAGTGATGATACGATAATTGCGAGAAGGTTTGCTTGCTTGAAAATGTACTCTTTTTGGTGTTCATGTCAGTTTCATTTCCCACCGATTCTATGTTGTAATATGTCCGCAGTGTTAATGCAAATTACTGAAAATACTCCCACACGGATGTATACAAGTTATCTTGACTTAAGTTCACCACCCATTATGGCTCTGGAGGAACGAGTAGCTTGGCTGAGCATTCAATGGACAGTTTCCATTCAACAGCAACCGAATAGTGGCGTGATGGAGCTGCAAAGGGCTTCCCCTGCGTTCGCTGTTCCTCGACGACGTATTTTATTGGAAGGATGGAGAACAGCAGGTTAGAAAACTGCCACAAGTCTCAGGCCTATCGAAAACCAGAGCTTATCAATAGCAGCAGCCAGTATCATTAGTCGATAGCGTTTATCCTCGAGATGGAGGGATGTTGACAGTTTCGAGTTACTCCATGCAACCTTGTAAATGAAGACGAGATCACAAACCGTATAGCAAAAGTACGAGTCAGTTTTGCTAACCTTTGCTACCTATGGTGCCGGCGCGACATCACTCTTGCTCTGAAGGGTAGAGTGTACAATGCAGAGGTACGTTCGACCCTACTGTACGGTTGTGAAACCTGGCCCATTGGATCAGCACACATAAGGAGGCTAGTTACATTCGACCATTGCTGACTCCGCAACTTAGCTCGTGACCGGTGAGAACACTGAGCGAGCAATGAGTGTGTTCGGTGCCTTGCATTTAGTCAGGAAGAGCGAGTGAACCGCTCAGCACCATAATATCACGTATCAGACTCCGATGGCTGGGCCATGTGTTGCGCATACCAGCACACAAACTCCCACGCTGTGCCCTGTTTTCGGCGACCGGAATGGTAGAACAGAAGCAGAGGTCAAGCGATGACCTGATCAAGAGGCCTTCACTTCGAAGTTGGCGCAGGTTGGTGTTTCCCGCCAGACTAGGGTTCGAAGGACGATAAACACGTTTGGCTGGATACACTTGTTGATATGGCTAGGAGCAGACCTCAATGGTGTTTGTGTTGTGAAGTTCTTTGTTCCCCCTACTCCCGCTTAGCCTCCCCCTCCAATCACGATCGCAATTATTAGGGATAATATGACTTCTTTGCGGCACAATATCCGACTGTTAGCTCACCGGAACGATGTCTGTGCGTTAATGATGAGTCAGCTGGCGTGCCTCTGTTTCATGTTTTCTTCTTTCCTGTATTGCGGCACAATAGCTGAGGTGATTTCCACCTGCAGCTAACGTGTATAATGAATGAATGATCCAGTGTAACTGTGATGAGAGGCAAGTTAGGAGTGCCTAGGCGTCATGTGCATAAGAAATGCATGTAGAGCGGGCGATATACATAGGTCGAAACGAGGAACTCTACCTTCAGTGTAATGAACTAGGACAGTTCAAGGAGTTGCAGTGCTATTACTGAAATGGATACAGAACACCACCTACCCAAATATTATCATGCCTCTACATCAGCAAGATAATAAGGATTCCGTTATGATTGTGGCGCTAGCATGCAACAGTATACACTTTCTACTGAGGTATGATTTTTCATTGTTCAACCATCTTTTGTTCCCACTAGCTACATATTTTCGACTCATCCTGGAATAATCCATCGAGCAATTTATGCGTGGAAAACATGAGCAGCATAGACCGTAGGGCGCAGAAATATCGTGTTAGATGCGGTATGCTCTGGTGCACACATAATATCTGATAAGTAGAGTAGTAGGAGGGTTTATTGAGTCTCTGATGTATGTATGTATTCTCAACAGTCTATTAACGAGACACAGAACCAGCATAAAACCATGGAGATCAGCAGATAGGCAAGATTCATCGAGTCATAATCATCGTGGCAGGCTAGCTGAAGGTGGACAACACAGTTCAACTAATATGTCGCAAGAAGAATGGAACATTTTGACAAAAAGTAGAGCAAAACATTTTTAGTTTGTTTTTCACACGCCGAATTTTCTCTTTTTTGCCATTTTCAATGTTGGTAGTATTAAACATCTGAATCAATACAATGCTGTACACAATTCTTCCATTAATTCCGGTTGCGGGCCATATCTTCAAGAGTGCTAAGCCATTGGCACTCCTCATCTCTGGGTCCCCATCCTGGAAGACGCACGGATCTAACAGCGGCTAGACACGTCAGCGATTTCATGTGCTGCCGCCAATTGGAAGGCTGACCACCACGCGGTCGCCTCCAGCCAGGTCCTTGACGAGCGAATAGAGCGCGACGCGGTAGACGCTCAGGTGTCATGCGTAGGATGTGACCGAGCCATCTCAACTGGCGTAACAAAACCAGTTTGTTGAAGGAAATACTTGCATTCCCCAAGATGCGACGTCGAACGTCATTACTATTAACTCGATGTTGCCACCAAACACGAGCGATCCTCCTTAAGCAACCGTTATCGAACACAGAAAGACGACGCATGTCTTGAACGCGAATCGGCCAGGACTCGCACCCATACAACAATATTGAGCGAACTGATGCGTTGTAAACGCGGCCCTTTAGTGAGTCTCTGAGAAGATTCGTCGTAGCTAGACACAATCGGACAGCCAGCATACATCCTGTAAAGTGCGTGCATAGATGTATGCTTGCTGTCTGGCTGAGTCTAGCTGCGAGGAATCTTCTCAGAAGCAAATGAGTATGTCTGGTAGACGGTTCCACAGGATGGTGGCACATTTGACGAAGAAAGAAGTAGAAGGGGACTGCTGTTCTGGTCCTTCACACGATTGGTCAGCCATTGTTGCATACAGTTTCACCAAAAGAAGAGAAGGGATATCCAGCAATCTTAATAGCAGTCTACGGCTACTGTACAGGGGTAAAACCGTAGTGGAAATTTCAACCGGAATTCTTTAATATTCGCTCAGCGTCCGGCAGATCCGGTTCACCAACGACTCAACCGTGCCAGTAAATCTCAACTATAACGAACTTCCAGATCAAGCGAGCGTGTATTCACATGTTCTCTTGTTTCCATGGAATGGGATACATTCGTATAGCAAGGAGCATACACAACAGAGGAAGGAATATCATTCGGCTTCTCCTAGGGCTGGAAGAAGAAAAGAGGTTAGTTGCCCCTCCCCCACCGATAGCCGATACAATTTGGCTGACTAGTCTAAAGTGATCCAAAGAGTGCTTGATAACCGATTAGGTGAATATCAAAAGCCACCAACCTCATCGTGATTAGAGCTGTTGAGAGTGGTGGAGCCAAGTCGGCATTAATCACCGATGAAGGATCTACAAGACTCATCTACCGAAGATGAGTCTACAGAAATACGCTATCTGAAATCGATCGGAACAGCCCATAACAACGGTGAGCAGCGTGGATTGCCTCATCAATGCATTGATGTTGAAACTCACATTCAATCCTGGAAATGTGTGTTGGGTCCCTGGTCCTATGCGGTCCTAAAGGCGTCTGAACTACTTTTTTGGTCACCGGCTCCCAACGCGTTGCGATACCTTCATATCGCCCTGCTGCCTTGTAGATTAGATCCTGGATTAAAGGCTCGGGGTGGGGCCCCCTAGGACAACCCTCTACTTCGGCCTGGGCAACCGGGTAGTATCTCGCCCACTGACGAACCTTGGATGGATCATCCCCTTCCCTCGCACAATAAAAAACCATTAAAAATACCCAAAAAGTGAGAGTAAAAATGGATAAAAAATTGTTTGTTTGCTTTCTTCATTTAATCTAACCCTGTTTTCCTATTCTACCATGGTTCCGATGGCAAAATATCTGTACACAGATTGTGATCAATATATATAAATATATATATATATATATATATATAATATTATGCCGATAAAATAATGCTTGTGAGGAAGTTGGAAGAAGCTACTTCTACACATCTCAAATGGTGTTTCAATCTAAGCGAAGGTGTTACCTGATGAGAGTCCCCTTTCACGGGACTACCGTCCATAGTGCGGGCTAGCATCCCAGGGGTTAGATATCCACGCCGATGTAAACCTGTCCATTTCGGCCCGAATAGGCTCATTTCATATAACGTTTGTTGATTTCGCTTATTCAGATAATAAAACAGAATGAGCTCGTTGACTGTACGCTTTTTAAACTGAAAAATGGGAAAGGAATGGAAAAGTATGAGAGAAAATGTTAACATTAACAATATGAAAAATCGTCCATGGCACTTACCAACTTTTTAATCTTGTGAAATTGCTTATTGTAGTAATCCAGGGCGAGAAAGAACACACGTCGTTCGTATGCTGTCCATTCATACCGTAATGGACTGAAATTGGGTAAATCGTTGCGAGCTCCTTCGAAGTCTGCCTTATGCCAGGTAAGCAGTGCGAGAGCTTGTTCTTCCGAATAACTAGACAGGGTTGACAAACGAGAGGAGTATAAATAATTCAGGGGTGTTGTCGCACTTGAAAACAATTGTTAGACATATGCACAGAGATTGAGCTGGAGCACTTGGTCATCCAGACACAAAAAGAGCTTCGATGTTTTAGCAACCATAATAGTTATCACATAGATGTAAGATTGTTACATAGGGACTTCATTTCCCGAAATGAAGTCACTGACGACCAAACTGGGTGTCGTTGGTCCGTCTCGCGTTCCGGGTTGGAATCCACGTGACTCGCCTTGTGCTTCGCTCGTGACTTTACAGAACATGGCTCGCAACCGACACCAGTGGCGCGTCTGCTGCCGTCTCCTAATCGAATTACATGTTTAAAGTGTGTTTCGTGCTGAGTTATCTGCGGGATAATGGCTGATTATGACGCGTGGCAATGAAAGCCGCAAGGAAGCTGTCTCGCCGATGCCGCCTTATCTTTGCACGATAGTCAGCTATTTGTAACGGTATGTTGTCTACACAAGGTCTAGGTGCCTTGACCCTGAATGTTTAATTAGGGCATTAAGGGTTTCAGGTAAGTCCCCCCTTCTCTCCCTCTTCATATTCTTTATTTCATAGGTCCTCATGGTTGTATGGCAGCGAAGCATCAGTTCAAATGGCTGATGTACTGTTGTTGTTGACTGACATAGGGACTGGTAGGACATTACTTCAAGTCAGCTGGCACTTGTACTAGCTGTATTGACCACCAGCATAAAAAGTAGATATATCAGCTTCAAAATCTATCCACTAAGACCTACCAGTACCACGCAGCATTTTTGCGCAGGTTTACTTATGTTCTTCCGTTATTAACTTGTGAGAGCATCTAAATGGATCAATGGGATACAAGCTTTCCCTTCTTCGCGACATCAAACGCAGATGAAACGCTACTTTTGAATTCAACACCTAAGAAATTCCCCAATAACGTCACAGAAAACAGCAGTATATTGTGCTAGCGTTTCACCGCCAATAATAATAAAACAGTAAGAATAATATTTCTGGAGTGTGAGAAGACCAATTTCTAATAGGAAAGAGCACCATGTACAGTCGTGATGCAGCTTCGGTCATGTGCGTGCAGTTGTCTTGTCAACACATCAAGGTTTCTGTTGCGCTTGTCTTTTATATGCACGCAACTATTTTATTACTTAAGAGTGGAAGGATTTTGGTGAGTATTTCGTCGTAATCAACCGACAATTCAGATATGTCGACCAGCTATCCGGAAAAGCACCAGACGGCCGTTTCACCCTATTGGGGCTCATCAGTGGTGCGCATCCTTCGGTCCTCTGCGGAGGATCGAACCCATGACTGCTAGTGGTTCTTGCCAACTAGCCCGCAGCTTATGCAACTGCGCCATGGAGGACGGTATCCGACCATCACGAATTGTTAACTAAATGCGATATAGCCCGACCCATCCTCCACCGCCATGCAGGCACCTGCCATGCGGATGACAGCGGTTGGCCTTCCGGCGTCAGGACTTCCCGGTTACGGCAGCTATGAATCGACGTAGCATTTTGTGGAATCCGTAAGGGCGAATTGGTATTACTTATGAGTGGAAGGATTTTGGTGAGTAGTTGTGTTCGTCGCAATCAACCGACAATTTATGTTCCCACTGGTTTCTGGAGTCCGATTAATCCTATAACAATTCGCTGGGCGAGTTTCCCAAGTTCTGATCAAGAAAACTTCCATGTACACTGCGGAACGTTCTCGCGTGTACACAGCACACGATTGTGGCTGGAAGACTATTCCACAGGATGACGTGTCTGATAAGAAACCACAGCGAATAGCCACCCCGGTTCTCAGTACAACTAGTGTACAACAATGGCTTGAAATTATATTGCAATTCAAATGTAGGTAGGGTAAGTATTCTGGTGAATCAGATTGGGCAGCAGCATCAAATTAGGCTTGTCTTTGCAACTAAAGTAGATCGACTTGGAGAACGTCAAAATCGTTAGAAAGGGATTGCGATCAACCTCCCAGAGGCGGCTGAGATTAGCAAACTGAACAGTTGCGTGAACAGAATGGACGGGGCAGAGATTTCGAGCGTCGCGAGCTGTGTTAACCCGACCAGCCTGAGGAGCACATGGGGCAGATCCAGGGCAGAGAATGAACGCCACATCATCCCTGCACGCATCGTTAACAGGGCTTACGTGTGTGACCTTGTAGCACGGACCACTTGTGATCGTTCGGTGCACTATTTGGAGTGATGTGTTGAGCTGTAACCCGATTGGTCTTCTGACTAGATCCCATTCGTCGCGATTATCATCCCAGTTCGCTATAAGTGCTATATCAATCATCGACTGGTTCACTCGGCCTGAGGAAGCTTTTGTGTCAAAAGCGAAACGCTGCCCAAAAACTATACCACCCGTTTGTTTTCAAAACTTTCTGAAATCACGAGTGGTCCAAGATGTTGAAGCTCGATGTAATAGTGTCGGTATCATTCTCGAAAGGTAGAAGCAGACTTTACAGGAAAAACTGGTGTAGTGGAGGAGTATTGTACGTTTCTTAGCAGTTTTTACCACTGTTGCTGCAAATGATGCTGTGGTACTCAAGGAAGAGACTGGTAAGGGATTTAGAAGCATGACTTTAATAGAGACTGCATAGATTGTGTTAGATATCTTGGTGATGGGCTGTCTGATTCGTGTTACTTAATATTCTGCTTGCTCAAGAAAGTGGGATTTAAGAGAATATCAGATAGTGAGATCAAGAGTAGCCAGATACCTTTAGTGTTGGATTCAATAGATCATTCAAGAAGTGGACAGACGTAGGACGTGGTGGCTGGTTTGTAACCTGGGAACTTTATAGCCCAAGTGTTGCACCAATTTTCAGCGGGATAGACGTGACCTGGAATTGGCAACAGTTCATAAACAGCTCCAAGGTCATTCGCAAATAAGAACAACTTGCCATGCTTGGTGGATATACCGATGTCATTGATATAGAGAAAGTGTAGCGAATCTGGAATTTTTGTATGGTTTGAGGTAAGCAGTTGTTAGCTTAACACCGAGCAGTGATGCCATTGGCCACCGAACTAGTGGTTGTTAGCCCATTTTAGTCTCCAGGAAATTGGCATCAGCGACGCGTCTGGTGGTATCCTCGAATCAGGATCTGTTTAGATATGTATGGTTATCGGCTATCCATGAGTTTGCTTCCAGCTAGGAACCGTAAAAATCCAAACGTAGCTGTATTGCCAGTGCCATTTTCGTGTCTCATTTGAGCTGTTTGTGACCACGCGGTGTGCACAGAATATAGCCGTTTTGTTCCGCAATCTCTATGGATAGTTGTTTCAGTTTAGATATTCCTTCTCACCATTTATTCCCCCTAAAGCCGGAGTCCGATAGTACCCCCATCCGTCATTCGATTAGGGAGGCTTAACTGCTTTTGTTGAGTATATTCACCTTGCAGCTAGAATCTGGCCAGTTTCCGAATCAATAGAAAACATCGTTTATTTTCGCCCTTCAAGGTGATCCTAAACAGAAAGTCACAAATTACCGGCCGATTCACCACACTTTCTCAATTGCCAGATTGTTCGGAACATCACATGGACTGTCCAACAGATTCCAGCATGACTTCCTGGGTAAGTGATTCAGCACAACCTGCTAATTGCATAATCTGAACTCCGCCACTGAATCCATTGACTCCGGCTATACGAAAGACATTTGACCAGGCGCATCAACTGGGTTCTGAAATGGCTTGATTCAGGGACCCGGTATTGATTCGACTATCATCACACCTGAGCGGGCGACAAGAGCTCCCACCACTGTTGGTGTCATGCGAGGAAGTCATGAGAAGCGGTGGAGAGGCATACGTAACCGTGTCTGATAAACAGTGTTTGGTAGGAAGCGACGGTAAGAGAGATGGAAAGTAGCTAGCGGAATACTTTCCTGCCCTTTCCTCATAACTAGTTCTCGTTTTGCAATTAAGAGGCAGACGAGAGCGGAGACCGATGTCAAGTTGATAGTGCTAGTGCACCTGCTCTTCCGAGATATAGTACACCACCCGAAGTGGACCAATTGCCTAAATTGACCGATTTTTTCTCATTTCTTGAACATTCCCCATGTTAACTTTATGGATCCAGACCACCATAAGGATTGACCAGTTTGGGCCAGTCCCTTGGGTGGTCAACTTACGGAGGATTTGCTGTACTGCTGCTGTTGCGATACACTCACCCAAGTTGGCAGAGGTGGTCGCCTATAGCTAAATCAGGTCGAACAAGTGGATCCATCAGTTGTAAGGTACTTCCTTTTAAGTAGCGCGGACCGTAGAGAATCCGGACCAGATATGCGAAAACGGTTGGATGATGCGATCGCGTTTCAAAACTCAAATCTAATCAAAGTCTCTGGTTGAACCAGTCATAGTGCAATTGCCAGAGCATGAAGGTGGGGAGTCAACTGAACAGCTCTGAAAGCGTCCTACTCATCGAGCCGGAGGACGTCAGCATTGGAAAGTAGAGCGCCGCTATTGTCCCTGATTTCCGCAATGGTGGGCGGTTTTATGAGAATGGTGGCGTGCGTCGAAAGCTCATCGACAGACAAAACGAAGTAGAGGTAAATGGTACTTTTCACTTCCTCGACGTGACAATGAAGCGACTCGAGAGTGGCATGTTACAAGGTCAGGTGTTTAGGAAACACATGTGGAATGGACAATGCCTGAATTTATACAGTTTCGTCCCGCTGAAATTAAAACGGAACCTGATCCTCAGTCTAATGAGCCGAGCAGAAAGAATTTGCTCGGACGAAACATTTCCCGAAGAACTGAAGCGCATACGTTCGACGCTGAGAAAATGATTACCCTGACAGTTTCCTGAAAGTCAACATGAGGGAAAGGAAGAAGGCTCCCGTAACCTTTAAAGTCCAGAGAAAACCCATATTTCTCCAACTACCACATAAGGGAGAAATCGCTGTTGAAATCATAACTCATCGCCTTTCTCATGCCCTCAGATACACTTTCCTAGCAGCTAAAATGAAAATCCAGTTTGCCGGTAACAC